CCTGCTCCTGGGTGGCCAGGCTGGCAGCTCTCCTGCCCTAGCTGGCCACTTTCCTGTGCCTAGTGCGCAGATCGTGGACAAGGTCCACGATGTCTGCACTAGCCCAGGCGGGTGCCCGCCTCTTGCGGTCCCTGGCAAGCTCCCGGGAGCCGCCAGCCTGGTCCCGGGAAGAGAGGGTGGGCTGGCACGGGTGCTGGCAGCCTTGCAACTGGCACAAACTGTGTAGCCAGCCCGTGCCCTTTAAGGGCTCCGGGGCCGGGAGGGGGGCAAACGAGTTTCCCTGGTGTTGGCCAGAGTGGCCACCAGGGAAACCTGGGAAGCATTAGCCTCCCACTAGTTCGAATTAAGGGTCTACACAGCCCTTAATTCGAACTAGCTAGTTCGAACTAGGCTTAATCCTCGTAAAATGAGGTTTACCTAGTTCGAACTAAGTGCTCCGTTAGTTCGAATTAAGTTCGAACTAACGGAGCCCTAGTGTAGCGCCTAGGAAAGTTAGTTCGAACTAACGTCTGTTAGTTCGAACTAAAAGTTAGTTCGAACTAACGTCTGTTAGTTCGAACTAACTTTGTAGTGTAGACATACCCTCAGTCTTCTCTTTTCTAAACTAAACAAGCCCAATTCCTTCAGCTTTGCCTCGTAGCTCATGTTTTCTAGACCTTTAATCATTCTTATTGCTCTTCCCTGGACCTTCTACAATTTTTCCTCCTCTTTCTTGAAATGTGGTGCCCAGAACTGGACACAATATTCCAGTTGAGGCTTAATTAGCACAAAGTAGAGCAGAAGAATGACGTCTCGTGTCTTGCTCACAACACTCCTATTAATGCATTCCAGAATCATGTTTTCTTTTTTTTGTAACAGTGTCACACTGTTGACTTATATTTAGCTTGTGGTCCACTATGACCCCATGATCCCTTTCTGCAGTACTCCTTCCTAAACAGTCACTTCCCATTCTGTATGTATGAAACCGATTGTTCCTTCCTAAGTGGAGTACTTTGCATTTGTCCTTATTAAACTTCATCCTGTTTACCTCAGACTATTTCTCCAGTTTGTCCAGATCGTTTTGATATCCTCTAAAGCAGTTGCAACCCCTCCCAGCTTGATATCATCTGCACAGTGAATGTCAGTGAAAATCAGAGAGGTTCAGAAATTAAAATAGGAAAAAAACAAGTTAAAATTACTTGGAAAAGCTAGATGTCTTCATGTCACCAAGACCTGATGAAATGCATCCTAGAATACTCAAGGGGCTGATTGACAAAGTATCTGAGCCATTAGCCATCATCTTTGAAAAGTCATGTAAGATGGGAGAGATTCCAGAAGACTACAGAAAGGCAAATATAGTGCCCATTTATAAAAAGAGAAATAAGGAGAACCCAGAAAAGTACAGAGCAGTCAGCTTAACTTCTGTGCCAGGAAAGATAATGGAACAAATAATTAAGGAATCCATCTGCAAACATCTGGTAGATAACATGATAAGTAACAGTCAGCATGGATTTCTCAAGAACAAATCATGTCAAACTAACCTGATGGCTTTCTTTGATAGGATAACAACCCTAATAAGAGGAAACAGTAGACATGGTGTACCTGGGCTTTAGTAAAGCATTTGAGTCTCGCATGACCTTCTTATCAATAAACTAGGGAAATATAATGTAGATGGGGCTACTGTAATGTGGGTGCATAAGTGGTTGGATAACCACTCTCAGCCCTGGTCTACACTATGGCTTTATTTTGAAATAACCCCCTTTATGTCTTATTAATTTGCAGAGCATCCACACTATCAAGCCTGTTGTTTTGAAATAATGAGCCACTTATTGTTAAATATGTACTCCTGCTTTCCTTGAGGAATAATGCTAATTTCAAAATAGTTATTTTGAGGAAGTGGTAGTGTGGTTGCTCCGGTGCTGCTATTTTGAAATAATTAGTCCCCAGAGTAATTCAAAGTAATTACTCCAGGAGGATCTAAGTCAAGGTAGCACATCTGCATTAACGGAGCCTGCTTTGGACTAATATCAAGACTTCCCTGTAGTGAGAACACTCTGTTTTGATTTTGTTAAATCAAGAGTCATTAAGTCGATTTAAGTAACTTCAAAATAATTTCCTAATGTAGACATGCCTTTAGAGAGTAGTTATCAATGATTCACAGTCAAGTTGGAAGGGTATAACAAGTAGGGTTCCTCAGGGATCAGTTCTGGGGCTGGTTCTGTTCAATATTTTCATCAACAATATAGATAATAGCATAGAGAGTATATTTATAAAGTTTACAGATGATACCAAGCTGGGAGGGGTTGCAAGTGCTCTTGAGGATAGGGTCCCTTCACAGTGTACCACCTTTGGAACAGCAGTTCTCTCAGCGGTCCACCGATAAGGTCTGAAGTCCCTCCTTTCTAGAGGCTAAGAGTACGTCTCCACAGTCACCTACAGTGAAGTGCCCACAGGGACACTCCTTGAAGAAGAAAAGGAAGGTTATTCACCTTGTGCAGTAACTAGTGTTATTCAAGATGGGTGTCCACAACCCGCCCGTCCTCTCCTTTGTTTTGGAGCTCTGCTGTAGACAAGGAACTAAGGCGATAGTTGATGGCGTGCACGCGTCAGCATGCTTGCTACATCACAAATGGTGCTGCTGCGCATGTGCGTCAGCACCCAAGGGGTAGCACTGCTGCCAAAAATTTCCAATTAGAAGCACAGGGGTGAGAAGACACCTATAATGGAGTGCCCACAGGGATACCCATCTCGAAGAACACCAGTTACTGCACAATGTGAGTAACCTCCCTTTTTCACACATACAAAATGGGAAGTGACTGTCTACGAAGGAGTACTGCAGCAAGGAATATAGGGGTTATAGTGAACCACAAGCTAAATATGAGTCAACAGTATGACACTGTTGCAACAAAAAAACTAACATAATTCTGGGATGCATTAATAGGCATGTTGTAAGCAAGACATGAGAAGTAATTATTCCCTTCTACTCTGTGTTGATTAAGCTTCAACTGGAGTATTGTGTCCAGTTCGGGGCACTGGAATAAATTGCCTATGTAGGTAGTGGAATCTCAATCATTGGAGATATTTAAGAGCAGATTAAACAGACATCT